GGGGATTCAGCAGCTTAGATGGTCTTCTGCTCTTAAAGTGCCCAACCATCCATGACGCAGAGCTTGGGAAGCTCAGAGCAGCCCAAACCCCGCAGGACGAGGCTGAGCACCCACCCACGGGAGAAGATGGACCTCCTGGGCACCACACACATGGTGACTGGGGACAGAGAGCCCATAAGGGAGGTCCAGGCTGAACCCCATCATTGGGCTGGGTCTTAGAGCTCAGCCATGCCCAGCTGGAGACGGACCAACCTACTACCTCCTGGAGGCATTTCTCCACTCTTTAAAACCCAGCTCAGAAAAGCCACACCTAAGCCATACACGTACACAGTGAGAGAAACCCACTCAAGTCTTCGGGGTTCGATATCAGCTCCACCACTGACTCCTGATTTGAGTTTTGGACCGTGCACACACACCGAAACCTGGCCTCTCCACAGACCCCATTACCGCCCTGTGACCGCAGGGAGAGGAGATGGAGTGGGAGGAGGGGACCATTCCCTGGTGGGGTGAGACAAGGGCGCATGGTCCAGCTCTGGGACCAGGCACGGACCTCCCAGGTCCTGGTTTGGCCACCGCACACCACCCCACAACCCTGGCAAGAGGGGCACAGGGTGGGGTGGGGAGGTGGTGCCCTCCAACTGACCACTGCATCCCTCGCAGGAGAGAACTCGTGGGTGATGGGGAATGGAAAAATGATTAACAGGCCAGAAGAGGGAAAAAAAAACCAAAACTCCAAACATTAGGGAGAATAAATGATGGCTTGTGGGGGAGAGAAGTTGGCTTTAATATGAGATTAATTGAAAACAAGATAGAGTTAATATAAGGCAGGGCTCCAGTTTAATAGTGGCTCTGGTCCACGATGTTATTAGACTTTGGCTCCGAGACCAAAAAAACCCTGACTCCTGTTAATGAAGAGGCGGTTTCTGCTCCACAACCATAAGCAACAACACTAAACAACAAGCCATCACAACAACGCTTCCACAACCACCGCCTCTCCAGCAGCTCAGAGGCTTTTCTAGATGCTGCACAGCCGGGTGGGTCTGCATGCCGCTGGCAGAGTTGTCGTTTTCTGCAAGCACTCAGGCTTTTGGCATTTTCTATTCTATTTCCTTATAGGCTTGATAGCATTTTTTATTCAAACTGACAGCTCTTTCAGCCAGGATAAACCCAAGGATAACAGTCATGTGTGTAGACACAGCTGAGCACAGATCCAAGACCAGCCTCCAAAGGCATCATCACCGCAGCCAAAAGAGCAGCACACAATGCTCGGCGTCCCCACGTGGGCTCTGAGCCCGCAGCGAGGGACAAAGGCAGGTACCAGCCAGTATCTCACCCAAGCAGCTACCCGGAGCTGTACTCACCTTCTTCTCTCTTTGGTGGGCTCTCCATCAGCACCGGCTGTGGCTTTGGCTCTGCCTGGGGAGGCTGGGTGACCAGGGGAGGCTCCGAGCTCTCCACTTGCCGTGTAGGTGGGGCTGGGACCTCGGCAGCCTTCGCTACCTGAATTTCCACGCGCTTGGTGGCCGTGTCGGGCACAGGAGCGCTGGCCGTCTCAGCTCTTCGCTGGGGCACCTCGGGGATCTTTGATGCCGGTGCCTCCACCCTCCGGAGACCCGGCTCCTGGGGCTTGCCGAGGGTGATCTCAGTCCTCCTTGGGGTGGGCTCGGGGGGTTTGTGCCCCAGCACATCTGCTCTTTTGAGGCCAAACCTTGACAACCCCGAGGTGGAGTTCTCCACCTGCTTGGATGAGATGTCAATGGAGATTTCTGTTCTTCTGGACACTGGCTCAGGCAGTTTGGGTCCAGAGAGCTCCACTCTCCTCAAAGAGGGCTTGGGTGATCTTTGGCCTGTGGGGTCTGCATGTCGGGCGGATGGCTCCAAATTCCTTGTGCCGAGTTCCTGAAACTTCTGTGTGGAGCTGGACACGGTGGACCTGAGGAGGGGGTTTGGGGTCCGTCTTTGTGGGGTAGAGGAATTTGAAGACTGATCTACCTCCTCGACCTCAAAAGATCTTTTCAAAGCTGAAAAACATGAAAGAAGTTCAGAATTTAGTTACCATCCACCTGAGCATCTCAAGAGATGTTTACGGAGGCTGCCTGAGGCTCATAACCCAATTTCTGCCCCTTCACCTCAGGGTTCCTAATGCCCTGTAAAGCAGGTGAGGTCTGAGGGCCAGGCTCTGCCTCTTCAGACAAGTTACAAACCCAGCAACAAAACTGGAACCAGAGCCAAGGAAATTCAAACCCAGAGTAGAAACCATCCCTGCGCTGCCCTCCATCCCACCCACACCCCATGGGTGCTCAGAGGGGAGCAGAGGGCCCCACCGCCGCACAGCAGGGCACAGGACTTGGGGGCAGCCAGCAACCCAACTCCCAACATCATCATAAAATCTAAACATCATCATCCCTGTTTTACCAACAGGGAAGTTAGGAGGCAAAGAGAGAAGGATGCAACACCAGATCGGATGCTCTGATTTACGCTTGAAGAGCCAGCAGCCCTGCCTTCACCGAGGCCCAGCACCGCGCAGGATCTGCTCCGGCACTCTCAGCTGCAGTGGAGCAGACGCACAGGTCGCCCCGTGCAGTGGAGCAGCACTCCGACAAGTGCCCCTTGTTCGGGTTTGGTTCTGCCCCTCATACAGGTCCCCCTCAGCCCACAAAGCTCCCTGGCTGGGCAGGTTACATAAGAACAAAACCCCCAACCCCCCCCCCGAGAGCCAGAAGCGTGTCTAAGGAAACCTGATGGACACTGGTGTCAGACCCTCAGCTTGGGGGCACGAAGCATCACCGAAGGAAGCCTCCATCCATGGAGTGATGCTCCCATCCCAGTCACTCAGTCGAGAGCCAGCAGCTGCCTGACCATGTCCTGGCTCATGCCTGGACACCCACATGTCACCCACGCAGCCCTTCCCACCCCACTCCAGCCAGTCCTCTTTAAAGAAGCAGATGCCCTTAAGACCATCAGACCCCCTGCTCTGCACAGGAGCCAGCCAGGTGGAAACAAAAAGCTGAACTTCACAGGAAAGGGGAGGAAATGCAGAGATCTGCTGCTGGATCCCATCCAAACGCCATGGGTTGCCCATACCCCCCACGCCCTCCAGCACCCAGGCAGGCACAGGGTCGGGGCAGGATGCGGCACGGCCCCGGGGTCCCAAAGGAGCCCCCATGAAGCGAGGTTGAGCCAGTGTAGTGACAGCTTCAGCCTGATGACAGCCACGCTGTTAACAACCGGCACAAGCACCAATAATGAGTCCACTCATCCTTTATATCAACAGGATAATATCAGTGAGATTTAGCCTTTAAAAACCTGGGCTTGAGATCACACAGGACGCCAGGAGCTGGGGGAGAGCCTGGAGCACAGCCTTCCCTCCTCCCAGGATGTCCACCCACCCCTGGCGTGGAGCTGGAGAAGAGCCACCACGAAGGCAGCATCTCCTGTTCTGACCCCCCAGGGCAGGGCCTGGGGACCCTCCATCCCTTGGACACATCCGTTTGCCGGAGAGAAGCCATCTGGCACGGCTGGGTCCAGCCGGCGGGACTCGGGGAGGGGGGGGGTCGTGCACGTGGCCGCCATATCCGCCAGCAGATCGCAAACGCAGCTGCTGACACGGGCCTGGAGCAGGCAGCAGATGCGGCTGCCTCCGTCCTGGGTAGCAGGGACTGGGGGACAAGGATGGCCCCATCCTGTGGCAACAGCTCTGAGGGGTCCCAAAGGAGATGACGAGGAAGCTGAGACCCTTGGAGCTGGGACTCACATGTTGGAGAAGCCACGCAACGGGGAGGCACACAGCGGTTCAAGTAGTAGGATACAGACTTTGGGCTGCTTTCCCTTTTTTGGGGGGGGAATATCCAAAAACTGCTAAATATGAACGCCAGGCTGCAAAACCAGCCAGAATGAGCACTGCAGAGGCTGGGACCAGGAGCCTCGCCAGGATGCTCCATAACAGTGACCCAGCAAAAGCCCCTCCCGGGAGACCCTCCGTGCTTGGGGACAGACAGACGTGGGCACAGACACACATCCGTATCCCCAGTTGTGGTTCAGACCCCGGCACAGGAACTGCTGGGAAGTGACGGGGGCCTGGGACGGGCTCCCAGGGAGGGGGGCCTGGCTGGCGTGGGCAGGGAGGGATGGACAGGGCAATTCACCCTCAATATTAACCTGAGGGAAACAGCCCCACAGCCGCTTTATGGCTACAATGAGAGGAAAGCACCGAAGCACAACACATAACATCCACCACGTAAAACCCAGGAAGGGCCCCATGAAGGGCACTTAATGACAAAATGGTCTGTTTTGCATCTCAAAAATATTCAGACTGCTAGAAGGACAGAGGGAGGCAGTAAAGAAAAATAAAGATGTTTTTCCTCCATTTCATCTGCTCAGTTTTCTGAATCCCGTGGAGCCCCCCCAGCCACGTCACCACCTGCTCGCAGAGGCCAGATGCTCTCTGCGGTAACCTCTGCCCTGCGCTCTGTGCTTGGCACATCTTGAGCGCTGCAGGTCTGCCTTCTCAGTTCTCAGCACCCCCAGAACAATTAATCCAAAAAAAGTCCCACACTTGAGAGCTGTTCCAATGTGTCTATCATAATTCTCAGGTCCCCAGAAGTGAGCTGGAGCTCAGACTCTCCAGCACCGACTTTTCTGTCGTTCTCCATCACACCCTTGATCCAGAAAATAACATTTCAGCCATTTTCTCTCCCAAATCCCAAGTTTAAAACAACACACCAGTCAAGCCCAGTTTGCATTTTGGAGGAGAACAAAGAGAGCGGAAGGGACAACCCAACAGGGAGCCTTTCCCAGGCCTCGAGTAAAGCCAGCCGGGCAAGCGCAGGGGAGGACACAGCCCGGCCAGGCGCTGCCAGCTCCCTGATGGATGCGATCTCAGGTTTGTCCACGTCAGGCTTTTAAAACCTGTTCATCACTCCTCCAGCCAGCCAGCTCAGTCTCCGTTTATTCCCTTCAACAAAACAGCCTAATAACCTCATGACAGATGTGTCTGGAGGAACAGTCTGAAAGTAAATGCTCTCAAGGAACCCAACAGCAAAGGAAACGCTGGCGAGCATCTTTCCTTAACAAATATGCCCCTGGAAATTTCTCAATACCAAGTGGTTTGGAGATCTCTTTTTGACCCAATAACGAGCTTTGGATATAAACAGCCCTGCTGACCTCCAGGGTTCATTGCATGAACCATCTCCATCATCTCAGGTCCTTTGAGTCTCCCTGCCACTTGCTACTGCCAAAGAAACGGCGGCAGCAGCGACCAGACGTGGGTCACACGATCGCAGTGCTGGAGCTGCTGCACATGGCCCTTTCTTTTGATTTCAAACCTCTCAAAGTGCCCCAAGCCCAGGTTAAACCTGCCCAACACCACCAGCGCGGTCCTTCTGGAGCACAGCCATGCCCTGCCCTTATTGAAGGGCTGGACTGAATACAACACCCAAAAATGGCTTTTCTCCAGGTCTTTCTCAGCCCCGCTGCAGAAAGGAGAAAAAGGTCAAAGCCCAGACACAAAGGAATTCAAAAAGCCTAAGGAAGAGCTGCAAAACCATGATTACAGCCGCAAGAGACTCGAACCATTCAAATAATGCCTCCCATGCCAGCACTGCGGTCCCGACAGGCAGTAAGGGGGTACCAAGGGGCTGGGCAAGGAACCGTCCCCCCAAGGGAGGGTTAGAAATGGCTCAGCACAGTTTCTGACAGCAAAATCACAAGGACTCCCAGGTCCCAGTGGCATTCCCTCCCCAATGGTATCACTGAGCCCAAAAGCTTTCCCACCCGTGGCTCTCTGTGGGATGCAATGCCCATCTCATGCCTCTGGCTGCACGGGGATTTTGGTACCCAGCCTGTCCTGCCTGGCCATGGCCACTGCCCCAAGTCCAATGTGCTCTGGAGAAGGTCAAACATCCCAGGCATGACAAAGGAGAGGGACTGTGACCAACAGGGTTTGTGTTTCCACCTCTGAGGCAGAGACCCACTGCCATGAACATGATCCTCAGGGATGCCACCTTCAGCAAGGGTGACCCTCGGTGGGATCAAGCACAGCTGCAGCTCCCCTGCTCAGCATCGCCTCTCTCCTGCTCCTTGCACAGAGAAGAGAGAAGGACCTCAGGAAGCAAAACAACTCTCAAAAAAAAAAAAAAGAGAAAAAGCTTAAAAATAGCCTGTCCTGCCCAGAGCCAAGAAAGGAAAGTAAACAGCCTCTGCTCCAGAGGACCCTCCTCCCGGCTTCCTGCGGGGAAGCTGCTGTATTCATGACAACACCAGGAGTCGAAGGCAGGGCAGCGCCACAGGGGCCCCGCACCCCACTCCCACCCACCGGTGCCCGGGTCCCACGCCAGCCGTTGTGGCTAATGCTACATGTCCTCGTTGGGCGGGCCCCCCCCCCCCCCCCCCCCCCCCGGTCCCCGGGTCCCACGCCAGCCGTTGTGGCTAATGCTCCATGTCCTCGTGGGGCTCCAGGTCCACATGTCCCCGACACCCTGGGCCAAGGTGTCCCTGCCCCAAGCAGGATCTGGGATGCCCACACTGCAGAGTTATCCCCACCGTGATGTTTTCCAGGGGATTTTTGGTGCTAGCAGGGCTGCCCCAGCCCCACCAGTATCATCCGCTCTGCTGGCCGGTGTCAGAGGCAGCCGGCAGGGGACAA